AACATATTTGTTTCATATATTTTCAGAATGATCTTTTATTTTTTACTTTACCTTATGTAGATAAAAATTCTTGTATTTTATATAAAAAGCACAATTTTTGGATTTTGATGAATATTTTTTCTTTGACAGATGATGAGAAAGGCTAATAAACGTAAGGAACAGGATATGGATTTTGAAGAAAAGAAAATGAATTTGACTATTGGCAAGAAGAAATTGAACGAGAGAATGGTTATTATGCCAGAGCTGCATCACCACCAAGAGCCTTGTCACCAGACTTGGCTTATCTTAAACCCAGACATGTTCCTCATGACGGGTAACAACATTTTGCCAAAATAACTCCTTTGTTATTTGTAGATTTTGCTTATTTAAAATATTTACAGATTGATTCCTAGAAGGAAGAATACTTTAGACGGCATTATGACGAACCACGACTTATACGTATGGAACCACCAATTTATGATGATTTAGCACTTCATGAACGAGACAGAATGCCCCGGTATCGTGAGCTACCCTCTCATAGAATGCCACAATATGAAGAAACGAGTTTTATTGCCACCCTGATGTTGTAAAGGTAACTTAACATTATAATATATTTTACTCATATTTGAATGATTTTTTTATTTTAGATTTCCTTAATATTGCTTATTCACATTTATTTTTAATAAAAAATTATGCTTAATTTAATTACATATACAAATATAAATTTACAACCTCAAGATAGCTGGTACTACCTAGAATGTATTTCAAAATGTTTTATTATTATAAAAACATATGATATTACATTACTTAAAATAAAGTAAAACAAATGATTAAGATTGCTGAATGCATATATAATAGAAATAATGGAAACTAAATAAATCTAATGCACACTATTAAATTCAAAAATAAAATCACTAACTAAATCACATTTACTTATTATTCTAATTTCACTTAACTAATCACATCTTATTATTATTATTATTTATTTATTTATTATTCATATAATTCGTACATACTGTATCTCAGTCAGACAATTGTTCTGGTATGAGAGAAAACAGCAATTAATTATAACAAAAATAAAATCTAAATTTTATGTAACAGACTTACATTAAGACATCTATCTATATTTTACTATTACATTATTATACGCAGAACACTTGCATACGTAAATACGTACTTATACTTAATTGTAATTAATATTTTTACAGAACAGAAGTAATATAGTATTTAAAATAAGGAATTTTATCTCATTTATTTCATCTATCTCTTATGTAATTTTTCAATTTAATTTTGAAATTGTTTAGGTCCGTCATTGTCTTTAGTTCGTCCGGTAGTTTATTGTAAAGGCTGCTTGCACTTCTCAGAGGAGTGCTTGTATACTTGCAAGTTCTTTACTTTATTAAGTTGGAAAATATTGTTAGATATTTGTAAGTGGCTGCCTGATGATTTCTTCATATCAAGAAGTTCAGGGCAAGCTGCCTAAACTTCTTGATATGTTTAAATAATCAACTTAATCAATAACAAATCAATATATTAATTTATGAGTGATTTATAAGTATACCTAGTTGCTGTAGAGCCATCATGTGAGAAACTATCATACAATTACATCTTTATTCAATTTTGAACAATTTTTTTTATTACATATTATTGAAAAATACGCTATATTTTTTAAGAACGCGGCAGATTAGTCCAAATTTTGATAAATTTTTATAATTGAATCACTTTTTGTAAGAGTATAATATTTTAGTATGTTCATTAAGACCAGGGACTCTATTGCCATACAAAGTTTCATTAAATTAGCAAATTGCTTCTTTCGCGAAAACTTAGCTGTCCCTTCAGGAAGTAAATAAATGTTTATTTTATAAAATATTCTAGAGGAGGCCGAGGCCAGCACGAGAAGTAATTGTTCAAAGAGCTGAACCTGTAACTAGAGGGGATGAATGGGCTGATCCTTTGGATGAGATCTAAAAGCCCTGGTTCTCGAAGGCCTAAAGAAAGAACATCGAGAAGATCTTATAGTTCTGGCTCTAGTTACTCAAGTAGCAGGTAAATAGTCAGATTTATTTGATTCAAAGTGAAGTATAAGTAAATTATTCTTTTAATTAAATTCATCTATTATTGTTATACCTAAAAAAGCAATTATTAATTAGTTATTATTATATGTTTCTTGTTTAATATTTTTATTTAAATTATAAATTTTTATTGTATTCTAATAATTGCAGCAGTACAAGTAGCACAAAGTCACGTTCTCCAAGATCACGGTCGCCTCGTGTTCGTGGTACACATCATTCATCCACAAGTAGGCGACGTGCTCGTGTATCACCCAGTGTTATTGTTTCTGAACGCAGGGCTGCTTCTGAAAGGGCTTTATTGATGAATCCCCCAGCACCCTCTCCACGGAAAAGGCCACATAGTCCAGCAATGATGAGAAGACATGCGCAGAATCCACCAGCACCAATTAGTGTATCAAAATCTAGCAGTAATAGTAAATCATCGAAGGTTGGTACAAATATAGTAATCTTTGTTTCATATCTTGATGTAAACTAATAATCTAGTTGTAAGTGGCATTATTCCTTGGGGGGCGTCCATTAATCACGTGAGGCTTTTAGGGGGAGGGGGGGTTTAACAAAATATCACGAAATATCACGAAATATCACGTTGGGGAGGGAGGGGTATAGCAAGATATCACATGTATTTATTTTTTTTACTATTTTTTATAAAAAAGTTTGCACATTTTTAAAAAAAATTAAAAATTTTACAGTTTTTTCACATAACTAAAAATACACGTGATGTTTGGTGGGGGAGGGGGGGTAATTTTGAATATCACCAAATATCACCAAGGGGGAGGAGGGGTCTAAAAATCCTTAAAAACTCGCTCACGTGATTAAATGGACGCCTCCTTGTGGCAAGTTGCATGAACTACACAATAAGTGTAAATAATTGATTTAATACATTTTTTTTTTATTTATATATGATCTACATGTGTACATGCCTATGATTTACCTATCTATCTTTGTACTTTTTTACTTTGCTACTTGTTCATCTGTTTACCTGTCTCAATGGTTACTTTTTTATCCGGATCACTAAAACTGCTTGACCTAGCTTTCCTAAAAACTAATTAGCATGTCCTCTTATCAATAGGAATAAAATAATGAATAATTCAAATAGGTTTTCAATGTTCTCCAAAACGTTGAGGAAAAATTGTAACCATACTTACTACATACACATACACACACATTCATTTATCCATTTTTTCTAACAATAAGATATATAATAAGGATATTATTAGTGTAATAAATTATAAATTTGTTGATTATTTCAGATAAACAGAGAACAAACAGATGCTTTTGGTCGCGTACGAAGGGACATTGATAGAGTATCTGAAAGAAGCCGCAGAGATTCGTTAACAAGTTCCTCTAAGGGCTCTCATAAATCGCCATATAAGAGGGACTCACGAGATTCGCGGAGGCGAGATGGTCGTTCTGCTAGCTCCAATTCTGGTTCTTCAGATTCCAGTTCCAGTGACTCTGGATCTAGTTACTCTAGTAGTTCAAGTTCACGTGAAAGAAGTCCTGTTACTAGTAGGAGATTGGTGGATAGTGCGAGACTTCATGCAACTATTGATAGATCCAAAGTGCGAGCTAGAACACCAGTTGACAGGAAACGTGATGAAAGTCGTAAAGGTTAGTATTGATTGCATTGAATAATAACTTCAATACAATTGGAAAGGTAATTTTGGCTTAATTTAATAAAGTATAATATTTGTATTGATAATTATCTATAATTTAGCTGTGGAAAGCGGAAGAAAAAGGCCTGCAAGTTCACCACCAAGTGAAGATAAATCTAACAAGTCTCCCAATGGTCCGAAAAAGGCTTCCCGGAGGGAGGAATTATTGAAACAACTTAAGGCTGTAGAGGATGCAATCGCTAGGAAGAGATCCAAGAATGATTAATATAGCGCTTATGTTTCTTTTGATATTTGTTAGTTTGTAATCCATAAAATCATTGTGACATTATTTTGTATAGTTCTCAATAGGTTTAGTATTTGTGGATAGTTTCAAAAAATACTTAATGAAATATGTATGCTTTGGAAATTATCAACCAATTTTATGAACAACGTTTATAGTTTTAAGTAAAATTGCTTAATAAACACATAGATTATTTTCTTTGTGTTTAAGGTTTAGGCAAATTTTGTTAAAATAAATGATGGAAAAATGTTATGATTTTGAAGTGATTTATACTGTTTTATTCAAATAGAATTTTTTTCTATTAAACTTTTTTTGATAACATGGCTCATACATAAATTGCTATTATTTTCAAAATTTGTCTAATAAATTATATATATATATATATATATATATATATATACCATTAATTTAGAATTCCTTTATCTTTTATTTTTGAATATCCATTGAACAGTTTCATTGATTTAACAAATTTTTCATTGATATTACAATATAAAATTGTAAAAGATGAAATATAAAACTTAAAAAAATTACTATTGTTTTGATTATACTTTTAGCAAAAGTTATGTTAATTAGTACAATTTATTCCTCATTGATACTATCTAAAAGTTAAAATATATTTGCAAATCTTTGTTGTGGCACAGACGCACGTGTAACCTTACTTCAAATTCCTATTGGCTCTTTTGGTCCATACGGCTAGAGCGAGATAGCGGACAAACAGAGCTCAGTATAAAATTTAGTAAGCGAGCAACACAATACACAGTTTTAATATAGTTTCATAAAATTTGTGTTTTTGTTGGTATCTGAAATTAAAGGACCATAATGGATACCGCATTGCGGGAACAAGTTATGATAAATCAGTTTGTGTTAGCAGCTGGTTGCGCAAGAGATCAAGCGAAGCAACTTCTACAGGCAGCACATTGGCAATTCGAGGTAATTTAAACAATAACAAATGTGATGTAAACAAACACGGTCGGGTATTGGCTTTTTTAATAATTGGTTAGGCAGCAGTTATAGGCAGCCTACAATAATAGTTAAATTAGTTGACAGAAAATGGCATGGGCTATTATTTGTTTGTTTTGTATATGCTATTGTAATATATTATTAGGGCTGCAAGGTCATAATAATACCGTAATACCCCCCACGCCTGCCCGTCGTCTGCCATTACGTGTACTCGGTCGTATGACGTAGCTTTGAACACGTGTCAAACGCATTTCTTTTAAAAACAATATTTATTTATTTATTCATTTTATATAAATTATATTTCTTACATATTGGAAAAAATTGTTTAAAGATACTTTTAATAATAAATAAACAAACTAGTTGGTTTGGTATTTAGCCTTGAGGCGAGTTACATGAACTTCCCGATATGTGTAAATAATTGACTTAATTAATAAAACATAAATTAATTTATGAGTAATTAAAAGTATTCCGAGTGGATTTATTACACATAATTGAAAACAAACGAGCACGTTAACTCGAGTATTTTGCAAAACCAAATTTTCAAAAATCCATATTTTTTATAATTGAACCAGTTTTTTTAGGAATTTAATAATTTAGTATTTTCATTAAGAGCAAGTACTCTTTTAATTTAACTTTAATTTACTTTGTACTTTAATTTTAACAAACGTCAAAAAAACTACTCATTTTCTCAAACTTCGATGATTTTTTTAAATTAAACTACTTGTCGTAAGGCCGTAATATTACAGTAAGTTTTATAAGACCATGATATATATCGCTAAAAAAAATTCTATAAAAATCGGCTTAAATTTTTTTTTAAACAGTTAATTAAAAGAAAACGGCTCGGTAGATTTTCACCTGAAACTAATCAGTATCATTCCCAACTAATATCTTTCGAACAGTTTTTGATTTTTTAAAATCGGTTCGGTAGGATGAGCTTAATGTAGACGAAAAGTTTAACACTTTTTTCCAAATTCCAAAGAAACGGCTCGGCCGATCGTCGCACAAAGCTGACAAACGATAGTCCTCATCGAAATACATCAAATGATTTTTAAATTTCTGAAATCGGTTCAGGCGTTTTTGAGAAAACGTCGATGAAAGGTCTAATTTTGACAAATGCTGAAAAAACGATACCAATTTTTGCAAACTCTGACGAATTTTCAAAGTTAAACCAATTGTCGTAGGGCCGTAATATTTTAGTATGATCTAGAAGACTATAGTATCTACCGTCAAAAAAATAATAGCAAAAATCGTCGAAAAAATTTTTTTTAACACTTTATTACAAGAAAACGGCCCGGCCGATCTTTACCAAAAACTAATCAGCACGATTTCCAATCAATATCTTTCGAACGGTTTTTGAATTTTCTTAATCGGTTCAGAATTGCGGGCTAAAACGTAGACGAAATTTCAAACATACTTTTTCCAAATTTGGTCTCATTCGATTCAGATCGGCTTGAAACGTCGAGAAAACATAAAATTAGCGAATCGGATTTTTTGATGAAAACATAAACTTCTCCTTCGGGAAGTTAATAAAATATCAATCATAACATATTTGTATATGTTGCTAATAATTACAAATACAAACATTAAAATAGGCATAATTAAAATAAAAGTTCTCTTTTTTTCTATTCGGTCGTAGCTTAATTAAATAAATATATTTATAATTCATTTACGAAATATTATTGATTCATGACTGATTGCTCAATATATAAATGAATTCATTTTTATAGCTTGTATTTTATTCATTATAATTTTATTTATATTTTATTACTAAGAGCTACTATCTAGAAAACTCCTTACGTTATATTGGCTATTATTATAGTTATATATTTAGGCTTGCACCGAATATTAGGTTACTAATCGATATTCGGCATATTCGGCATCTTTTTTAATATTCGGCCGAATACCGAATAGTAACTTACTATTCGGGCGAATACCGAATAGTCAAAATCAAAGGCGCCGCCGCCGCTCAGCGACAGTATTGTTCGTATTGTTGGCGTTTTATCTTTTATGCGATAAACACCGATGGATCTGTATTTAGTTTATATAATATGATATGAAGGAATGAATTTGTTATTGTACATATAATAATTTAAACTTTATCGATTTTTGACATTATAAATGATCACATGTTTATGAATATGAATCATTCAATGGTTACACGCATGTGTTGTATCGATACAATATAGTAATTCATTATATGAAATCTAAGCATTTCCAAATAAAGAGCTATTACTGGCTCTTTATCGCAAAATATACAAACAATATTTTTGATCATTTTCGATCGCTTTTTCATAATTTTGCCATTTATTTGCCCATCACATGTGGTATTCAAGTATTCGGTATTCGGCCGAATAGTATAATGGTGCCAAATATTCCAAACAACAAAGTGTAGCCGCATAGTGGTCGCAAGTCTAGACATAAAACTTGAATGAATATGTAGCGCGTTAGTAATATAACAATTACTGATAGAATTTCATTATTACAAACGAGCTTAGGCGCCAAAAACTTGCCGAATATTCAGTATTCGGTCTTCGGAACATGCCGAATATTCGGTCTTCGGCATTTTGCCGAATATACTATTCGTTGCAAGCCTAGTTATATTAAATGAATGAAATCGAGTTTAACACTGGAATGGATATTAAATTTGGTTATTATAATGAATTTGTCAAAGTAAAAACTTTTATAACTAAATTGAATAAAATAAATTAAATAACTGTATATGCTCATATATCATTTATTAATATATATAGTAGCTCATTTAATAAGAATATATATAAATTAATCTTGTATGACACGTTAGTACTATATTTCGTTATAAAATTCTTATGATATAGTGATATATTGTGATTCTTTTCAGATAGCGTTATCAATATTTTTTCAAGAAGCAACAGTTCCCACACATGCACCACCTACTCCATTCGGACAGGTAAACAAACGCAAACTTTATTGTATTCAGCTATTTTTGTTTAAAAATCAATTCTGTTACATAAATCTTCTTAAAATATATAGTTAGATTGTCTAGTTGCATATATTCTTATAAAATATAAATCACCCTGTAATTACTAATAGTGATTATGTTAGATTGTTATTCTATTTTTGCCTTTACAGCAAGTCATGACTCCATGTAATACACCAGCGACACCACCAAACTTTCCAGATACTCTAATGGCTTTTTCTCGAATGTCTGCAAACACACCGGTTTCTGATTCAATACCCATGTGCAGTACACACGGTCATTGTGGGCCACAAGCTAGACAAGAAACACCCCCAGCAACACAATGTTCTCCTACAAACACACCAGCTTCTAGATAAATTTATTTGATTCAGAAAGTTATGTGGATCAGAGTTTTTGTTTGTATATTTAGTTCAAGCTGCAGAGGTGTCAAACGGATCAAAAATTCATCTCATTGGTATCAGGACAAGTGCTGCTTTACACTAGTTCTTCAGAGTGGTTTCTTCCAATTAATAGAAATACATAATTCATTATGGTAATTTATAATATAGCATGTAACAAAGCAAACATTCTAGCCTATAAATTAGGCGAGAAATGATATTATCAATATCATCAAGAAGTTGTGTAAAAAACTACAAAATAGATATTTATTCTATATTGTTGAAACTAATTATGAATCCTGATATCTCTTACAACTATAATGTTATATGTAAACATAAAATAGAAATTTGTGGTTTATTTATTAATAGTTAACATAAAAATCAAATTAGTTTGTATGATTTCGTTGGCTAGTAATGTTTTAATTAACTATTTGTCACAAAAGTTCTAAGATTTGACATATAAATAGAAGCATTGTTAATTTTAGTTAATATAAAAATTTAAATTTGAAAATATATGAAAAGACAGTGTAGCGAAGGTGAAGTTTAGAAAATCAGACAATAATTATGAAGGATATTTTACAGTCATTTTTTAAGATTAAGATTTTTGAACATATTTTTCATGTTCTGATATACTTAATAGGTATATAGGTATCTTGTATATATGTGAATATAACAATTTTTCTTAATATATAATTGATGATATTTGTCCGATGATAAGAAAAAACAAATATTCTTTATTATACACACAAATATATGTGTTAAATGTACGTTTGCTTTATCTAATTACGTGGTGCTTCTGAGCAAGGTTAGTGCTCATGTAGTGAAAATCCTGATCATTTATTTATATTTAATTGTTATTGAGCACAAATTATTTTATTTGTTATGTTCTTGTAAATATGTATGATATAATTGGTATGTGATGCTATGTATAAGTTTGAATGAAATTGAAAAGAATACAAAACTTGAAAATTGAACTTGATAGCTTTTTAATTCACTCTCAATGGGACTAGGTGCAATTTTATCATTGTGTTACATGTTTTCAAGTGAAATAAAAAGAGTAAGCAGGATCATTAAAAGGAAAGGAAAATGAGTGCATAACTTCAACATGGCATTGTCGAAGATAACATAGAAAGACTGAAAGGACTGGGAAAAAAAAGATTGCAGTATTGCAGATTATTGATTAGTTATGCGAGAAGACAAAATACAGGTAATAGAAAAATGAACCACAAGATCTGGAACCATGAAAGCAAAAGTTTTGAAAAGAAAATGATTAATGAAGTGATTAATGGTAATAAATTTGTAAAAAGGGAATAATGAACAATAAGGAAGAACAAATATTGATAGATCCAAATTGCGGGGTAGAACATCAGTTGACCGGAAACATGATTAAAGTCGTAAAGGTTAGTATTGATTGCATTGAATAACTTCAATACAATTGTTAAGTTAATTTTTGAGTAATTTAATAAAATATAATATTTGTACGGGCAAATACCTATAATTTAGCTGTGGAAAGCGGAAGAAAAAACCCTGCAAGTTTACCACCAAATGAAGATAAATCTAACAAGTCTCCAAATGGTCTGAAAAAGGCTTCCCGGAGGGAGGAATTATTGAAACAACTTAAGATATCCAAGAATGATTAATATAGTGCTTATGTCTCTTCTGATATTTGTTAGTTTGTAATCCATAAAATCATTGTGATATTATTTTGTCTAGTTATAAATAGGTTAATATTTGTACTCATTCTGCAAATTGACGTGGTTGGAGATAAAATAGAAAGACTGAAAGGATTGGGAAAAAGAAGAATGCAGATTATTGATGACTTATGCGAGAAGACAAAATACAGGTAACAGAAAAATAAAGCACAAGATCTAGGAGCATAAAAGCACAAGTTTTGAAAGGAAAATACATAAAATTGAATAAAAAAGTAATTAATGGTAATAAATTTGTAATGGGAATGATAAACAATAAGGGAGAACATTGATTTGTGGTGCCTTCGTATAGACTACTATTTATTATTATAATTTTATATATAAGTGAAATAGAGAAGAGTGGGCAAAGAAAATACTCTACTGAGCGCGATCCTTAAAAGGAAAGGAAACTGAATTGGACCCGTTCTGCAAGATAAGTAAGCCTTAATATATATATATATATATATATATATATATATATATTATATAATAATAATTACAACATCATATGATGCAGCTTATATGGATATTGGAAATATGTTTTAATTTAGAAAGAAAGATTTTGCATTCAGAATATTTAATACAAAGAAATAAAGACGTGAATGTTATATTTATTTCCATTACAAAAGAATAAAATGCATAATCAAATGTTTCTAGTAAGAAGTTAAAATATTTTGCTGACATGAGCAATTTTTGATGATAGTAAATTTAGCCAAATTTATTACAAACTTAATTTTATTTTTTAGATTCATTCAAATATACCGTTAATTATATATCGATATATAATCGATTTGATCATGTCCTAGCAGAAAATATCTATTTTAGCATTGTGCAAAAATCATTCAAAGATTATGAAATTATAAATTCTAACCTCATTCAAACGCCGGTCCACCATGCGAAAAACACATGAGTTGTCGTTGACAAGAAACTGTCAAATGTCATAAAAACGTTCACAAAATCATCAAAATACTAGAAATGTGATAAATGGGTATTTATAGTTTTCATAATTAAGCATATCATGATAATTTTTATATTGGTGTGTTAGTTAATTTTATCTGCATATCTAATATTTACAAATCGTAAAATGTCACCGAGATAAGTGATTTAGAAAAATTGAATTTAAAACATACTGTCGAAGATCTTCAATATACCAATAATGTTGCAAGGATATGGACCTGTTACCCAAGCTCTTTTGGGGACACTTTTCACATGGGGGCTGACAGCAGCTGGGGCTGGCCTGGTTGTTTTTATTAGAGGAAAACAGGTTATAACCCTAAATTTATTATACAATATTATTTAATGTTTTATCTATCATTTTTCTTTTTGTGGTTTCTAAATTTAGTTGTGGTTGATACATTACATATGTTTATTTTACATCGATAAATTCATTTTTACTTTAATTTTTTCTTTAGCGCAAGTTGTTAGATTCTGCACTTGGGTTTGCTGCGGGTGTGATGACAGCAGCTTCATATTGGTCGCTTTTGGCACCAGCAATAGAAATGGCACAGGATTCTGGTCTTTATGGAGAAGACGGTAGATATGCCTTCGCTCCAGTAACTGCTGGTTTTCTTCTCGGGGCTGCTTTTGTATATGGAACAGATTTGTTTATTGAATATCTTGGAATTAACTCACCCAATATGATGATAGGTATGCTGGTAATAGAGGTTTTCATTTGAAACATTAGAGCATTTCCATAAATATCAACATTAAATTTTGAATTTTCTTTTAATTATTTGTAAATCGATTAAGAATTCATAATATGTTGTTTTTCTAGTTATTTATGTAATTGCTCATAAATTCATATTTGGTTTTCTCCTGCTAATTAAATAAGAAATGAAATCATTTTGTTCTAAAAGAATTTTAAATCATCTTTAACGGACACTGTTTGGTTTGTTGAATTAAATTATGTTGATTGTGCCTGTTTAGTTGCAAATATGAAGAAAACCATCATAATTATGTAAAATGTTTAATTAAAATAATCCGTAGTAACCATAACTATTTTATTTTCAAACGCTTTTTATTGTATTATAACAATCTCAATACAAATACCTAGTGTATTTGTACAAATACACTAGTACAATATTTTGATACAAATACCTAGTGTTATAACTGTAATTGCAAATACAATTACAATTATAAATAAATATACAAATACAATTGTAATTTAATATAGTTAAAAACTAATGTAATACTGAATGCTTTTTAGAAGCATTAATTAAATCATAATATATAGTCAGTTTATAATCTTTGCTTTTCATACTTTCTATACTAACAGATGAAAAATTGTATTATATTAATAAAATATTTATTTAATCTTCAACAGCTTTAACTGAAAAAAAGTCCAGGGACAGTTCTCCAAACAGCAAACGAAATTCAGCAACATATCAAGAAATGCAATTAAGAAGTTTAGATACAACTATAGATGGATTTGCCGACTGCCTAAATAATCAACACTCACATAGGAGAAGAAATAAAACCCATGATATAAAAGATGAAGTAAATGTAAGAAACTACAATAGTTGTTATAGAAATTATAAAATGTTTATGAGTCTTTAAATATAATCTCTTTTTAGGTCTATGCAAGTAATGCTAATGAAACCTCATCAAATTCTAATGAATTAAAACGAAGCCAATGGAAACGAATCATGCTGCTTGTAGTAGCCATAACGGTGCATAATATACCTGAAGGATTAGCTGTAGGGGTTGGATTTGGAGCTGTTGGAAGCTCTGCCTCAGCTACATTTGAGAAAGCAAGGTAAGTGCTAGTTATGAGTATATGGTTCACATTTTGTGATATATACATATATATATTATGTTTCTTTTCCGAACAATAAATTCGAAAAAATAGAAAACTATGTTTTTTATAAATGTTTATTATCGACGTTTTGGAATTAAATACGTTTTGTTATACAAATATAATTCAATAGCATATACATTAGTCAATGATTTAAATTTCAGCAATAATTGTGACGTATCAACTACCTGATGACATGATTATATCATGTACAATAAAGAAAGAATATAAGATTTTATTTCCAATTCTAACAGGCAATAGAATTAGAGACAGAATTTTATGAAACTTTCAACTATAGAAGTAAACAATACTTTTACCAAATACCATCTATTTTATCTACTTTCAACATTGTCTTTGAATATGAGATCCAAAATATAGATATATAAATATATTCCGAAATTAAGAAATTCCTAAATATAAGAAACAAATAAAAAAATAGATTTTTAACTTAATGAGTTGCTTCATCTATTATAAAAATATGGTTTGATCTCGAATAAACATATTCCAAGACGAAAATAGATAAAGATGATGGCATTTGGTAAAGGAACCATTCACTTGTAAAGTTAAAAGTTTCATGAAATTCTGTTTCTAATTCTATTTTATTTTGGGATTGGAAATAAAATATTATATTCTTTCTTCATTGTACATATAATCATGCCATCAGGTACTTGATGCGTCACAATTATTGTTGAAATCATTGACTAATGTATATGCTATTGAATTATATTTGTGCTATTAAAATACATAGAAATTACTTTCAATTTCAAATATTTAATACGAATCATTTAATAAAAGTAAACAGTAATTATTGTACTAGCGGCTAGCAAGAAATAGTAGGCTAGGGGTAGGCCCATTGTAGGCCTATCATTTATATACAAAAATTCCCAGACTATTTGCAATAAATTTGAAGTTTTTTCGAATAAATTTACTATTATTTAATAATGCAAATATCAAATTGAAGGGCAGAACAAAACAAAGAGATTGCATTTTGAAAAGAGAATTGGTTTTCTGAAGTCGTATCGAATTTGTGTTCCAATAAGAACAATTCTTACTTCCAATAAGAACTCAGACAAATTAAACGATTTGAGATCTATGTTCTTAAGTGAAATTCTGGTTTCACACTGCTTGATATTAAGCTGACCGAGGTTTTCCAGGCTACGTTCTTTGCCACTAGCCCTCGACGAGCTCTAAATTATGATTATGATAGTTGTTTATCAGCTTTTGAATTTGATTTAATTACTTAATCCAATTCGTTGAATTATTACATTCATTCTTTGTTTTATTGGTAGTCGTAGTAAAAGTGATGATCTATATATGTATTGAAACAATTAATGCAGATTAGATTCTATGCCGCTGCTTGTTCTATGAATAATGAAAGTTCATGATTCCTTTGAGTTGAGTTTGAGCTTTTTTCTAATTTCCGTGCGTCTATAATATATTTTGCATTCATTTTTTGTGAGTGATGTATATGCGATGATAATGAGAAGAAGTACAGATTATAGCGCGGTAAGTTTTGTGTGAGGGAATGTGGAGTGACTGAAACGGTGCGATCGTCTCGGAATGCGCGAGCAGCCGCCGGCGCCGGACATTCCACAGAAGACAGCTTCTGCAACTGTTTTCAAAGGTTTACCATCGCCTCAATCCACAGTTTTCGATGGATCAAATCGCCATTTAATATTTGGTTATCCATTATAACATTATATTTAGTGCTTCACAATGAAAGAGTAGCATATTTTTTGTCCTGTGGCTCTGCCTTTATTATTCTCTATTTTCTTTTCAAGTGCACCTTGATGATCATCTGCATTTTTTTTTTATTTCGATTTTTTATTTATTTAGCCTACGATGGCGTCGTGTAGAAGACACTCTTTTTGCAATATATGTCCGATCCAGTTCCGTTTTTGAAGTAAAACTTCTTTAGGCGCGACTAGGGTGTAAATCCGTACAAATGCAACGGAAGTCCGTTACGCCCGAACTGTTCGCCATTCGCTTTCGATGAGATCATTTCTATACGGGTCGATTGTGATTAGTCGTCGTGCATGTGAATAGAGATCTGTCGTTGTATGCGTACCGGCATCAACATAGATAAATAAACATTTTAAACTACGATGTAACGTAGTACAAATCTTGATTTAATGAAAAATGCCTGAATCAAAAGAATATTTTACCCTATCTCCCGTAAATAATTATAATGAAAATAATAAAACAAATGGAACATTTGCGCTGTGTACGAAACATAAGTTTATTGAAATAATTTCTATATTATTCGTAGTTTCTATAAATCTTTGAAGTTATTGAAATGGAAAGTATTTTTTAGGCAAGACAGATATTACAGCTGTTCAAAGAATGAGATTATATTGCTAGCGAAAAATTAAAAAAAATACAAGCAGTCAATGAATGTATGTTAATTTTAATTACATGAAGTTCTTCGAACACAATTACATGATGAGTGAAGTTGCGAAAAAATATTTGTTTAGGCGTTGTTTAACATAAATCCACTGTGTGAACGAATATGATAGAATTTATTAATCATCAATTACTTCATTTCTCTAATGAAGGTTCATTTCTAAATGCTAATTACAATGACAAACCGATCATGCCTTATTTGATGTATGACTTTAATTACGTTATTGTTTTTAAATATTACACATAATTTTAATGCTATTATAAATATAAAATTTATAATTTATCATTATATTTATATAAATGTGTATAATGGTTGACACTAATAACTGTGTGCATCACGAGTGTTACCATATTACAAATAAACATTTTACAAAATTGTTATATGATGTATTTATTTTTACTTAAATGCCATCTAAAATCGAAAAAAAAAGAAAATAAGTTTTACTTCAATCGCGTGTGAACCTTACGCGCACTTTTTTTTGGTAAGAAGAACCCCTTCTTTGGCCACTTCCCGCAGTACTACTTCATTTGTCACCTTCTCGGGGCAGTAAAGTTTACTTTTTTTAAAACAGTAAAACAGTAAACTTTGATTTTTATCTCCAATTTTCTCCAGTCTCGAAACTCCTAGATAGTTTGCGCAGAGTTGTTCGAGTTCTTGCCTTATTATTAGGGCACATATTATCAGTTAACTTGATCTTTCTTTCTAGGCTTACAGCTTTATTTTCATATAGATTTCCATATCTTGTGCCTAAGTATCTGTTCTCATCTCTCGAAAAATTGCCCAATTTGTATCAATATTTCTGCTACTTTCTCCAAATGTCCATCTTTATCTAAAACCAATTCCAGAAAAATTTCTTTTACTACTACAAACTTGTTCCAATAATAAGAGTTCAATATATCTGGTAAATGTGTATAAAAATATTTATGTGGAAACAAGGTTAATGATGATGAGCTTGCAGACTGCATTGCAAAAATTCTTGATTGATTACGTGCTTAATAAAAAAAATGTTTTAAAGTTATAGCCCATAACATTATTTCAATTGTCAATTATCAATCATCAAGTAATAATGCCAAAGCTGATCCATTTTATTTGTTTTCTTGGGGGTAATATGTCTCTTGGTGCACATACAGTGCAATTTGATCAAAGTTTATTTCAATCAATTTCAAATCAATTATTCATCAAAGTATCAAATCGTACCTACTGTTCCTGATTTTCCATTACGCAGTTATGATAATTTTATGCCTTTCATTTTTATGTTTCGATATATGCCTGAGTTTGAATTTTCATATTTTTTGCATTTGCCCAATTTTTTCATCATTTTTCTGATTTACTCGAAGTTTTCTAGCCACATTCTGCAGTTTGGTGATGCCTTCTTCCCATTTTTGTGAGCTTTTTTGACAATTATTGCTTGTTCTTCACGACCTTTTTATTTTATGAAGGGGAGTATCTTTTTCATAATTCACCTCAATTATTTTTCAAGTTTTTTAGCTCAAATTCATACTTTTCTACTCGTTTTGCGAATATTTTTTAATTTCCTTTTCAAATCGATCAGATTTTGAAATTCCAACTAATTTGATTCCTAGGTTATTATTATCTATTGTATATTTTTTTATTAATATCTTATCTTTCTAATCTCAATTTTTTTGATAAATGGGAAAAATATTATCATGACCATCTTATATACACATAAACCGAATTTTCGAGGTCTTCATTCAAATATTACATCAATAGACGACCACACGCACATCAAAAATTTGACTAACAAGGCGGACGACATTATGCGTCATGTAAAGGCGTTTGAATATTTTATTTTAATAATTATTATATATATATATGTATATATATATATAAATGTTACTTCTGCTTGACACCAGGCTCACCGAGGCGAACCTGGAACGGTTTCATTTAATTATTTTTTTACATACTTGAGTATTGAGTATTAAGTTTCCGTTTATATATTTACAGGGATTTTAGTAGATATAATATAAATTCATATAAATTTGAGTAATATTTTATTTAAAACAATATGTTTAAAATGTAACAGCTTCAATAATATAAAATTAATTAAATAAAACTTCTAATGAAATCCTTTTGGTACTACATGTGGCAGTGAATTTAATTTTTATAGATAATGTGAATATAATTCAACAGTGTTATCGAAGTATTATACTTCTTCATCATAATACAGTACTTACTATCAACTTCGTTCATAAAAAATGCTCTGATCATGTGGGAATTTTTTTTACATTTAAACGGAAACCGGATATCTAATAAAAACTTTGATCCTTATTAAATTCAAGATTCTTCCATTCTTACATGTTACGATTCTTCCGATTCGATTTATATCAGGCATGCTCAAGGATTCAATTTTCTTGTAACATATGAAATAAGTTTTTTAGATGCGGAAATATTTTATTAAAAACGATATAATAATTAAAAAGTAAAATAAGTTAAATTGAAATCTTGTACTATTTTTTTTTAAATATTACATATATTTTGTTCAGTTTATTGATTAGATTTTAAAAATATGGATGAAGAAACGATTTGATCCACCTTA